TGTCTGTCTGTCTGTGTGTCTGTCTGTCTGTGTGTCTGTCTGTCTGTCTGTCTGTGTGTCTGTGTGTCAGAGGGAGAAGAGACGTGTCTTGTTTCTCTACAACCTGCTGATCCAGAGACAGATTTCCTCTGCAGGCAGGAAACGCATCATCACCCAGAAACAGAGCAGCAGGACGGTGAGTGATGTCACAGATCAGAGAGTCTGTCATACAGAGGAATATAATGAAAAGAACAAGAGTCGATCGATCCGATCAGTTTATTGAATCTGGATCAGATCGGTCAGAGTTCTGATTCCAGATGTTTCACCTCCTCTCTGAAGTTCTTCTTGTTGAACCTTTCTCTGCAGGTGTTTCAGTGTTTGTCCAGGTGTCATTGTCACAAACAGGAAGACTCAGAAGAGACGCTCTATGACGCCGCTTAGACCTGGACAGGAAGTCCCGTCTGCTGCTCGCTGACTTTAAAGAAGACAACGATGGTCAGATAAACCTGCACCTTTAAACTGAGTCTAAAGAAGAGAAATAGAGCTGCACTGTGCGTATCATACAGGTGCTGAATGTGTCTCCTTCATCATAAAACACCTGCAGAGCAAATATTCACAAACCTGCATGTTTACTTGTTTACTTGTTCCCAGTTCTGTCTGTCGGAACATCGCTGACACATTACTTCTATCTGTACATCAGAGGAACACTGTGGTGTGACACCAGTGACAGGAAGGTGAATCATATCGCTGTTTGCTTACGTATGTGCACGCTGCACAAGACAAACATGAAGGGCCACTTATTGATGCTGCAGAGTGAACAGCTCTGAGGGTCTGAGGCTTCACAGCAGTTTGTAACTCAGCAGGACTGAGACTGTTTTAAACTCTCACATTAGAAGTGCAGATTGTGACTCTGGAGGGAGAGCTGATTGTTTCGTCTCATTTCCAGGTCGTCAACACTTCAGGTGAGTGAGTCGGTCCAGATACAAACCTGAAGCACCAGTATTTGAGACTCAACAGTTAACTTCCTCTGGAATACTTCAGCCACAAAATGATGGTTTGTGTCGTCTCATCTTTGTCACCGCTCAGCTCTGCGGCAGCGACAAGGATGAGAGACGACAAGTTTTTACCATGCAAAAATAGATATTTATTTATAAAAGACTCAAACAAAGGTAAACGTGGAAGTCAGTAGTCAGTAGTGTAAGCAAGTGTGGATGTGTGGAAATGTATGGAGCAAACAAAAGGAGAAACAGCAGCAGCGCCCACGCTCCGGTCAGACCAGAGAGAGAGAGAGACTGAAGACAGGCAGGAGGGAGCTTTTGACAGAGACACACACTGGGCCCAGGTGTGTGTCTCATCAGGCTGATAACCCTCCGCCCTCCGCTCTGCTTCCTGCAAGAGACGAACAGCAGCAAAAAGGCAGGGACAACTAGTGGAGCTGAGGGGTCGTCACATCTTGAATCCATGGGGGAAAAAAATGAGTTGTTATATATTGGCATCGGATGGCGGCAAAAAAATCCAATGTTGTGCATCCGTAATTTTCACCAAGCAGCAACCTGAAAAATGAAGCCAGCATGTGCTAAAAACTGCAGTTCCTCTATTGTCCACTTGAGGCTGGCTCCAACAGTGAGTCAGTCCACACAGACCTCCATATTAACATGTCCAACTTTACAGCAGATCCACCCTCTCACTCAAATATGGTCACTTCTGGCTCCACAAAACAAAACCAGGGTGGTAACGGCTGAAATGCCAAACTCAAGGCTTCAAAACTGGAGTCCACAAACCATTATTCTATACAGTCAGAAGGAAAACAGAATATCTGAGTCCTCTGAGGGTTTTTTTAAAACCAAACTGTAACCAAGATGTTTTCAGGCGACCAAAACGTTAAAAGTAACTCATGAACTGAAAACACACTGAAATAGTGACAACTACTACTCTGTGAATCTGGAGACAACAGGTTACAATACTTAACCGATGTTGTCGCCATGGTAACTTCTCAACAAACAGCACCCACCTGTCACTGTGATTATGCGTAACTTTAAGCCTTAATAATTAAATGTGTGAGTAGCACCAAAAAACCAAAACGTTGACGCCCAAAATGCCGAACTTGAGACTTCAAAACAGGAGTCCACAAACCTGTGTGTGATGTCACAGTGGCTGCGTCCATTATTTTAACAGACCTTGACAGGTGTTGGCAACCTGCAGGTGTTTAGCTCCTCCCCAGTGGCTCCCTGTGACTTTGATAAAAAAGACAAAAATCACGTTAAACTGAATAACAGCTGTTTACTTATTTATTTTTATTTTTTAACATTTTCATTCTTATTTATTACTGTTGTAGGCCTAAATAAATTCTTACATTCTCTGCCTGTAAAAATGTGCACTTAGTTGTAACATTTCGTCAACTAAACCGTGCGTCATACGTCCACAGCCTGGTGCCTGTTCCTCTAAACTCCCTGTCTCGGCTAAAAATGCATTCCAAATCCATAAAAGTTAAAATCTCGGAGGAAAATACAGAATTAATAATGAGTAGACACATTTGTTTGTTTTTACCGCCAACGCTGCAAAGTTAAAGTACCAACTGATCATCACAGACCACTGCAGACGAGCCTGGTGGTGAAACATTATTAAATGTTCATTTAGACCTATGTTTATGTCAGTACGCTAATTTAGACTAAATACACAGTGTTAGCATGAGGCTCAAATATGTTTTGCTGCTCCAGGCAGATTTTTCTGGATTACGTTTTGACAAAAATGGCTCTTTTGATAGTTCAGATTGATTTTCACTAAAAACCTCAGAGTTGAGTCTGGCTTTGAGGAGAGCTCAGATCAGTTTCAGTTCAGTTTTAAATACTAATGTTTGAAAAGGACTGTTGTTAAATGAGGTCCCCAATCAATCAATAAATCAATATGTTCACTGTTGTCCATGCAGGAATGCAAGGAATTCAAGGTAACAAAGCATGATGTATTGATTTACAAACATTCACTGTGTGTGTGAGTTTTAAAACAGGAACACACAGAGAGAGAATTTACAGTTTGAACACAGCACAAAGATTTAATGAGAAGAAACAAGACAACTAAACTTTCTTTGAAAACTGTCCAGCAGGAACTCAACTTAACACTCAGTGTGTGTGTGTGTGGGTGTGTGTGTGTGTGTGTGTGGGATCACATGGTCAGATTAGATATGAACAGAAGAGTTATGTAACCAGCTGATCCTCAGCAGCACGTGCAGCGCTCGCTTCATCCACAGTTTTAATCTCTTCTACAAACTGATGCTGGATCAGTCAGCACTCCTCTGAGTGATGATGTCACCAGGGTCTCTGTGACCTCTGTGACCTCACAGACCTGTCGTCCTCCTGAACTCATCACTCAGCCGTTGACCTGCAGTCACAGTAAAAACACTTTGTTACAAACTTCATTTATATTCACTGATGGATCACTGAGAGGACGAGACATCAGCACACACACGTCAGTTACTGCAGCTCAAGAGTCGGACCGACCGAATGTACTGAAAGTATCTGAAGTAAAAGTAAAGTAGAAGTTGGTTGAGTTGATTTATAATATTTAGAGAAAATAAAATGTTAAATCCTCCAGACTTATGAAGACACTTCTGAGCGTCCTAAACCCTTTTTTGTTTTGCAGAGAATACTTGAAAATGTCTGAACTGAATTAAAATAAATAATAAATAAATAAATAAAATCATCATCTAAATCTCGCAAAAAGAAAAAATAAAGCAGGAGGCTGCTCTAAAAATACTGAAGAAAATTATTTTAGAAGAAAATTTAAATTTGATCATTTCAAATAAAATATAAATGCCAAACTAAAATGATTTGATGATGTGTTTTTCACTGGAAAATGAATTTTGTAGGACAAATATGTGTTGTGTTAAAAGTAATCAGAAATCCGGAATTTGTGATTCGTTACAGTCACTCTGATGTGACGAAGAGAGAACTACAGAAGTAAGAATAAGAGTTTGAAATACAAGCATGTTAAGTAATAAAATAAAATAAAATGAAATAAATAATAAATTAAAATTAAAAAGTAAAATACAAATATGCATTATGCTACAATGTTTAACACTAGTACTTAAGATATCAGAAATAAAATATATATCTTCACTGTGTTGAGTGTGTGAACATATAAAAATATGTGCTACATCACACTGTATAAACTCGTGTTAGATTCAGAAATATTAAATATGTATTGTGCTATAATGATTACTACAATCTCAATCTCATCTCATAAATATAAAGAATAAAAAAAGCCTCTGAGATGTGGAGAAGAAGGGTTTAACTTGTGCTTAATATTGTGTTTATATGCAATAAAAAAATGAAAACACATGAAACACAAAGTGATAAAACAACAAAGTAAAAGCAGTGATTAAAATAGTTCAGTATGACGTCAGTGAATCTGAACAGTAATCACTGCAGACAGGAAGAGGTTAACTCTGCTGAGGAAATACCCTGTGTGTGTGTGTGTGTGTGTGTGTGTGAGAAGTCACTCAGATGTGCTGAAGCTGCATCCAGTTATTTTATTTCCAAAATAAAATAAAGTTTGTGAGATGAATTTCAGGATGCAGCTGAAGACAAACAGTCTGTGGAGTGTGTTACATTACGTATCACACAGTCTGTACATGGTTTAAACTTCAACATGCAGTTAATATATATGATACTTACGGTCTGTTCACACTGTAGAAGTGCGTCCAGACTAAAATCACATAGTTTTTGGACTTTGTTGTCACAGACTGCAACACGCTGCTCACAGCTGGAGGGAAATTAATATATAAGTACATTATTACATTATACTACAACCAATACACATGATTTTATCTCCTGTGACCTCACAGTCATGCCTCCATTAGACTATATTCTTAAATGCCATAAATTTAAACAGTCAAAATAAACGTGTTTAATAGGATTTATTTATCAACAACCAGCTAATTAGGATTTTGGTTTACTTATAAATAGTTATTATTGTGAGTGTAAAGATTAAGAGTACACCGTATAGATAAAAATAAAAGAGGGAAATTTGAGGTTTGTGATTTTGGGCTGTATAATAAAATTCACTTCACTAATTTGATTTATGGAAAGACTCATTGAATGTATACATATTTTAAATTTAAGTTAAATTTAAAGTCTTACCTGACTGTAATGGAGGCTGATGAGCAGAGGTGTATTGTGGGTGATACTTTGGAATGTAAAGAAAATGTTTTTTATTACAGTTTTATTTTGCTGTTGTGCTTTAACTTAAAAAGATATTGAGCCTCTTATCTACAAAAATCACGGTAGATTTAATTTTTGATTTTGATTGGAAAGTAAGCAGGTTTTGATGACGTCTTTATATCATATTATAATTAATTAATAGTTAAATTATTCAATTGATTATTATTATTAGTTTTATTATCAAAGTGATTTGGAATTAATAGTCAAATATAAATACAAGGTAAATTGTTGTCAGTCGTTTTTATTTTGAAGGCTGTCAGACTACTTCCGTTCTAAATCTTGCTAGCTCCGGTTAGCTTAACGCAGTTAAATGACGTCTCCGTTAGCCCACGGTATAAACACGGGCGGTCCGGTGTCCTCCGTTAATTAGTCGCGTACAGCGCTCTCGGGACGGATGAACCAAACTGTCCGGTGTCCGGTTAAACACAGCCGACATTAACGGAGCCTCTCAGGCCGGTGTGAGCGTTAGTTTCTGGGGCCAGAAACTGTTTTTAAGAGAGCTACGCAGATAACGGTCCGAACCAGAGAACCGGGCTCCCTGCCCGCTACATTCACCCCGAATTAACGGTCACTTTCCCCGCGGGTGGTCCGGTGTAGCGGCGGCTCTGACCCCGCTTTGTTTCTGTGGATGTTACCGGATCAAAGAAGCACCATGGAGTTTCTCTGGAGCCTCTCCCGGTGCTTGGACACGGTGAGGTAACGGGAACGGGACCAGGTTGCTTCACACATACACACACACTCACTCACACACACATCAGAGAGCAGCAACCTGTTGCCGGTGACGCAGAGAAGATGAACGGAGCTGCCGCAACGATCCTGCTGCTGCTGCTCAGCGGCCGTGCTGCCTTCACTGCTGCCCGGTCCCTGAACGCACCGCAGGACGGAGAGGTTCTGCCTCTGGACGGACAGACGGACGGTACCGACAGTCTGACAGCTGCTGTGACAGGTACACACGTTAACGGTTACCGTGAACCGGCTGACGCTAACTACAGACACTACTGTGTGAGGAGGGGAATTATTAAGAAGCTGTAATTCATTAAAACATTAAGTTAATCTGTTTGATGTGACGGATGAAGTCTGTCTGTGTCTGTGACCTTTGACCTGATTGAATGCTTGCCTGTTGTCAGGGTAACCTAATCTGACACTAGCAGCCTCTCACTCAGCTGACTGCTGTGACTGTAACTGTCTGTACTGAAACTAGGGCTGCAAATAACCAATATTTCTATGATAGATTAATCAGCCTGTTATCTTATTGATCAATTGATTAATTCATCAATACAAGAAAATCAGAAAATAGTGAAACATTCCCTGTTAAATAACTCAGAGCTCAAAGTGATGTCTTCAAATAGTTTGTTTCACCTGAACACGTCCAGATATTCAAAGTTATTCAGTTTATTAATATGTACGAAAGAAAAACATCTCACATTTTAATTCAGTTGTTATATCGTAAACAACTGGACGTTAAAACGTCATCAAGAAATTCAAACAAGTCCAGTTGCCTTCGATATAGCACTAGAATATGTAGAATATATGACCTTCACATAATCCGCTCCAAATTAATCTATATTTTTAAAGTCATTACTAAAAGTGTGTGTCATATAAAAACTAAAGTGATGGTCAAAGTTGTCACAGTGAAATTTAAGGTGTGCTGATGGATTCACGTCATCACCTCATGCATTGAGTAACATTACAAGTTAACGTTCCACCTTAAAAGTTGCCGGCAGTCGGCCCAGTTTTCTCTGATTTCAGATGTCGTGACATATTTAGGTAAGAGATAAAAAAGGTAAAAAAGTCGACTTGGGCTCAAACTGAAGTTTATCAACTTGGAAAGTTTTCTGCGTACAAGTGAAGCAGAGATATTAAACACATAGTGATGAAAAATAGTCATTTTTGGTGAGAAGCAGAGAGTCATTTTTTTTGTTTGTTTTTTTGGGGGGATGTGTGATAATTTAAAATAAAATGGCAGCGAGCTCCAGAATCTTATTTTGCTACTTTCTTCTGTGTCAGGATACTCTTTACCAAAGTTCATACTTGTATGACTGTTTATCCGGTGATCGTACCCTAATATTTGCATTTACATAATTTCGCCAGAAACATGTCTCTTAAGGCCCTGACACACCAAGCCGACGGTTGGCCATTGGTCAAAGTCGGGCCGTCGGTGAGTGTCTGTCGGCCTAGTTTTTGTGGTATGTCCCACACCATCGGCACTTCGGCGTCGACGGCTTTTCGGCCGATTGAGCGTGTTTTGTTTTTTTTTTTTTTTTAAGATATTTTTTGGGGCTTTTTAGCCTTTAATGTATAGGACAGACAAGCGAGAGAGGGAGAGACATGCAGCAAAGGGCCACAGGCTGCGGCAACAGCCTTGTACATGGGGAGACTGCTCTACCACTAAGCCACTGACGCCCCCCGATTGAGCATGTTGAATCGGCAGCGGAGCTTGTCGGTGAGAGAGATCACTCTGATTGGCTGTTCAGGTTTTATTTCCTCGCCCCTGTAGCGAGTGAATCTGCCTGTAGTGAAACAGGGGCTAACCGGTGCTTCCTCCTCAGGCTCCACTTCACTCAGCTGCCCGAAACCGGAGCTAGCTGGGAGCGGCTAGTGGTTTGTTATTCAGGTTAAAGTGGGAAGAAGCAGCGGGTTTATCGGGCAGCTGAGTGAAGTGGAGCCTGAGGAGGAAACACCGGGACCGTCTGGATGTAATAGTCCGTGGAGGTGCTGCGGTGCTAGGCTGCACAGATAGGAAACCCCTCGGCTGACAGGATGTACCACTCTCTCACTCAGCTCTCTCTCACGCAGGCGCAGAACGTACGTGCTACTTGGCAGTCGGATGTAGTCCGTGTAGTGTGTTCAAATGCAACTGACACAGGGCGACGTGAGGCGACGTAGACGATGCAACAGTTGGCTTTCGTCACCGCTAGTTCTTTGATGTCGGTTTGGTGTGTCTGCACCTTAAAAAGGGGTTTTGGGTCCCCTGAAACGAAACAACCCCAAGCTGTGGGTGCACGTTATCAACTTGTGATGGCCCAGGGTATAAACAGGCTAACAGGAAGCAATAATGATGAAACGATAGCAGATGATTTTATACCTAATATTTATAATCATGATTTTTGTCTAGTCATTTTATTAACTTTTATTGTATATTACTGAATTGTTTTATTTTATGATCTATGGAAACACTGCTGCTTTTTTTAACTGCGTCTTCTCAGGTGTCCTTGAGTGCTCTGAGAGCGTCCTATAAATAAAATGCATTATCATTATTATTAGAAAACATAACGAGGGCAGGACCTGGCTCCAGGCCGAGACTATTCGCTGATCAAAATAGCTGACAGATGATTTTCTGTCTATTGATGAATCACTGCAGCTTTACTTTGGAGTCTTGAAACTGACAAACAAAACCCAACTCAGTTTTATTAGTTTATAGTTTATTTAAGAAGAGACGGTGCACATTAATAAATACACACAGTTAAAAAATGCCAGAATTAACCAAAGGGCTTTTTCATCTGTAGTCCCTTTAATCTATTTATTTATTTAATCTTTATTTAAACAGGAAGTCCCATTGAGACTGAAGAGCTCTTTTACAACAGAGACCTGGTCGAGGCAGCAGCCAATCAGAACACATTAAAATGCAACTAATACAACATATAAAACAAAAATCCACAGTAAAACAACAACTATTAGTGTCCTCTCAAGAAAAACAAGCACATGTCTCTGTCACCATATTCTTTATGATGTGTTTATAATTTAGATCTTTTTGAGGATTGTTTCATGACCATGGTGCAGAGTAGGAAAATACAGTTTTCCTCACATCTGTTAAAACCAGATGTTCGTTAGAAAGCAGCCATAGCTGGAAACTACCAGAGCTGACACACAGCAGGGTTCAGAGGTCGGCTGGGAGTTTGACCAGTCCTGCTTTAGAGATAAAAATATACCAGTGCTGCTGTCTGTGAGTGGTCAGTGACGTCCAACACACCAAGTCATAATGAGAAGTGATGTGTCAGGGACTGTCCTGGATCAGTTTGTTGACTGTGTGTTTTCCTCGAGTTTCTGTGTGACCTCAAACTTCTCTTTAATAAAATTAAAGTTGGATTCAGATGACATCATATTTATCTGGACTCTGTCACGACGGACACTGTGTCAGATAAGTTGATTATAGAGTTATAATTTCGACTCTCGTTAAATCAGTTAACTATTAGGTAGTGTTAGATGTGTGATGCTAACAGTTAGCCCCGTCACTGTGTGTGTGTGTGTGTGTGTGTGTGTGTGTGTGCGCGCGCGTGTGTGTGTGTGTGTGTGTGTGTGTGTGTGCAGGTGATACACTGAGAGAGGACGGTTGGAGTGAATCACTGCGCTGTGATGAAATAATGTTTTAACCATTTTAAAGACAAAAATGATTAAAAATCAAAACATGGTGATCAGTGTTGTTAAGGACACAAATAAATCAGTGTGATTGGAAACAACAAGACTTTATATTTATTTAGAATTTCTTTGTCATTTCTTAAAAAAACAAAACAAAACACGAATACCTGAATTCAAAAAATAAAAGCTGAATACCACCCAACAAATTTTCCTACCCAGTTTACCCAGTCTGTGTTACCAGTTTACCCAGTCTGTGTTCCCAGTTTACCCAGTCTGTCTGTGTCCTCAGGTGTGGACAGATGGCGGCGCCCCCTGCTGCAGAAAACTCGTCCCTTTGTCCTGGTGGACGGACGAAGGCGGAGCCTCACTGAAGCTCTACAGGTCAGAGACATGAAACCTCGTATCTCTAACAGGTCAAAGGTCAGGACTTCAGACCAGTGATGATGTCATACTGGGATCACACTGGACGTCTACTGGTGTATTGCTGGTATTGTACTGGTGTGTTACTGGTGTATTGCTGGTGTTGTACTGGTCTGTTACTGGTGTGTTTCTGTGGTCCTGAGCTCAGTCTGGTTTCCATCAGACTGCTCTCTGGATGTTTTGAATGGGTGGAGTGTGCACTCACATACTTCCCTTCCTCATTTGAGAAAACAAAAGCACATGAAGTTCCCACACACCCACCCACGTGTTACCATGGTTACCTGATGGAGGCATTTCAGGGTGTGACAGCACGTCTGTGTCAAAGCCTCATGGGAGTTGTAGTTGTTGATGCTGCGGCAGCACAGTGAGCAGGTCCTGGATCAGTTTGTTGCACATGTGTCAGCTGTCATGGGTGTTGGTTTAAGAAGCGCTTGATTTGATAAGATGCAGAGTTTCTCTGAACGGAGCATTGTAAACGTTGAAATTGCATCAGTCATGTTGTTTAATTGTGGGAAGCCAAAATTGTGATTGAGATTATTGTTTGATTTGTGCAGCCCGAGAGAGAAGACAAAAACAGATGACTGATAAGTTTGTTTGTCAGAATATTGTGAGGCGTCTCAGACGAAGCATCAGTTGTCGTCCACAACTGTTGCACCTGACGCCGTTTTCATTCCTGATGCCTTGCAAGTGTCGGGTCGCGCTGATATTGTGCAGTCTGAACACTGCAGAACTGATCAGACCTCGTATACACTGAGACATCTGTGTGACGACATTAGATCAGACTTGATATTAATATATATGAACTCTATATGTCTACCTTCTCTTTCTTCTGCAAACTATAACTTTGGTTTGAAAGCAGCAACGACCTTCAGTCCTCCTTGACCCTGGACACGACTCTGTGGGTTTGAAACAATGAAAATGCTGCAGAGATCTTTGTTGAAATTAGGACTGCAATGGTATACTGATTTTAAGGTTTACCATGATATGAAAATTGACGGTTATCATCACACTGTGTACATTTGCTTATCTACAATAATGAAAAAAAAAAACAACTGAACGAAGAACATCACCTTTATTTTAGTTCTTTTCAGAAGGGAAACTTTTTACACATAAAAATGTTTCCAAGTTTCAATTTTAGTAATAAAATGTTTGTTCAACCAAAAATAATCCTTCAGTTTTTATCCTTAAGGGTCGTTCTGACTGATGATAATTATAACTTGTAATACCATAATGTTTTCTGAGATGATTATGACACTGTGAAAATCTCTTAACGCTGTTAAAAAGAAGAGTTATTCAGTCTTCACTGTTCAGCACAGAAACAGACAGTATTTTTATTATGAGGAAATGAAGAACAGATCATCGTCTTGAGGACGGACAGGAAGTTATGTCTTAATTTTCTCCTTCATTCATGAACAGACAGTTTCCTTCACGGCTACAGTCAGTGTGTTTCACTGAAATAAGAAAGAGGAAGGAAGTCCGAGCGTTGACAGTTTTCACCAGGAGTTTCCTGCAGGAACACTGAAATCTGAGGAAGGGGGGAGTGTTGGAGGATGGACACTTCCTGTGCAGCTGACAGCAGCTCTTAGATCATTTCCTGTTAAATTCCCCCCACCCTCACCCACCCTGACTCCACCCAGCTGGGAGGAAACAGGGAGAAAGAAGGAGAATGTGTGATGTAGTGTGTTAAACTAAAGGAGCAGTCCGCTAAATTAAACTCTCCTCACTGTCACAGGAACGGATGAACCCTCTGCTCTGAGGACGTCTGAATGATTTAATACTTTCTAACTGATCTAATGACGTCATTTATTGGGTTATTGGCAGAAATGGACTATGGTATAATAAGTCTGTTTTCTTTAGTGTGAAATCACCCAAAAACCAAACACTGGCTCCAAATAGGGACATTCAGGTTTTTGCGTCAGCCACTTTAAGCCCGGTCTCCACCAAACTCTCTCAGTCCAGCACCCTTGAAGCCAACAGTAACCCTTCAGACTAGGGGTGTAACGGTACACAAAAATCTTGGTTCGGTACGTACCTCGGTACACAAGTCACAGTTTGTTTGTTTTTTTCCGGTACAGTAATGAAAAAAATAGGCAACTATTAAATATCTTTTACTTATTGGTAACCTTATTAAAACATACCACCACAGCAGTTAACTCTTTTTACACAATTTTTGAATGAAACAAATATATATAAAATCCTGCTTTTTCACATTGTTTGAATGAAAATAGAAATATTAAAGTGAAAAATAAAATCCTGCTGTTTTTTTAACACATTTTTTTGAACAAAAAATATAAATATACATTTCTGCTTTAACAGTTTTACTCAATTAAAATAAAAAGTATAGTGCAGCTGGTCAGCTTTAAAGCCTGCTCAGATTCAGTTTTACTAGGAACTTACTTAGCTTTCCCACTTTGTTAAAGTGCAGTAAACAAAACATGCTTATATCTAAAGTGCAGCTTAAACAATTTTACTCAACTCCAATGGCGTTG